ACCACTGAGCCACAACAAAGCTCCTCCTGCCACCTCCTGGTGGACAAAAGGTACGACACTTACACTTCAGAGAGCAGCTTCCTCTTCTTCAGCTCATTCTTCTCCTTCTCTTCCAGCTGAGCTGTGTTAGCTTTCTTTACCAGAAGCAGCTTCTCTCTGACCTGGTCTTCTATGCTCTCCACCTGGGGAGCAACACACGACCACACAAACACATTCGATTCAGATCGATACCGAACACACAAGGCTGAGATAACAGAGTTGATGCACAACTTACGGTCTTGAATATCCTCGGGCCGCCCTCGTGTGATTTGTCCACTCTGATCCATTTGTTGGACATGGCCTTGCTGAAGCCGATCTTCCCAAAGGACAGTTTCTGCACGGGGACAAACAACAGTGTCACTGAGTATACAATGCAGAATTATAGAACAGTATGTGTTTATATGAGAGTAATTAATCAATTCATACATTCAAATATAATGTGTATGAATGGTGTACAGTTCGTCCACACTTTACTGTCATCATTGCTTCGTACTGTACAACACACAGATGATCTCCACATCTTTTATTATAGTTTTGCTTTATTGTGGAGGAAGAAAGATGTTTTACTGGCTAAGAGGTGGGAGCCTGTTTTATTTTGTATATTTGGTGTGCAGATTTAAAAAACAACTTCTTTCTAACTTCTGTATTTAACAGTAAGAAATATATAAGATCATTTTTTTTAAAAATTGGAGAGAAGAGAGAAGACCTGCAATGAAATCTCAATTATATTTGTGACAATGGGATAATTTCATATTTGAAAGTTCATTGAGTAGAAGAACACACATACAGGCCGTGTGGATGTTGTATTCTGTCTGATTGTTACCCAAGAACCAAAACATTGCTGCACTGAATTTTAATAGAAACTGGTGCAACCGGTCAGCCACCTCCATCACACGCCAAACACAACAGATTCAATCTTATTCTTAGTTTTGTTATTGTTTCTAAATTATTTTAAATGTTTTTAACTTAAAAAAATGGTTTTACTAGAATGGACTGGAATATATATATATATA